CACTCTTTTCTTTGGCGTAACATGCGTATCTGCGTTAGTTTGCAAAAAATATTTTTTGAAAATCGGTTTGTCAACCAGAAGTCGGCACGGAACATTATTGTGCAAATTACCAGGCACCTTACTGTGTAAAAATCCATAAATAATCAGGAAATTTAGGCATGGAAAACAACTCTTCATCAGTAATAGGGGAAAATAGCACTATCTCCAGTGGTGGAACAGGCATTTTTCTATGAGAGCTCGTTTGCGTGAAATAAAGTTTTGAGTCAGTTTGCAACTCGCCAGTTAAGAAATCATTGTGCACCTCAGAAGTGTAGATTCGTAAAAAAATTGTCAATCCATTAAGTTGCAATAATTTTTTGGCAATAATAAGTTGTTTTTTTATCGGGTTGCCAATCGTCGGCGGCAAGTCAGTGTGCAAATTTTCGGGCACCTCAGTGTGCAAAATTTCGTAAAAATCAGCAAATCTTGCCATTTAAAACAGTTTTTTGTCACTAATGGAAGAAAGTCTACTCTTTCCACAACAAACGTGGAACAGAGTCCATTTTATAAGGGCGAGTTTATGTGAAATAAAAGTTTTGTAAATCATCCATTCTTACCGGCAGTTAGTAAATAATTGGGCACATCAGTCTGTCGGTGAAAAAATCTTAGAAAACCAGCACAAATAGTAATTTGAGGCGACTTTTTGCCAATAATAAAGGAAGGTTTAATCTTTCAGGTCGCGTGGCAATAAAATTGTTCTATCTGGTCTGGTTTGGAAAACCTGAATTTTTGAAAACCGATTTGCTTACGAGTGGTCAACTAATCAGTGTGCAAATTCCCCAGTAATTCGAAAAAATCAGGAAATCCATCCGTTCAAAAACATTTTTTTGTCAATAATAAAGGACAGCTTCCTCTTTCCAGTGGTAGTACAGGTACTTTTGTATGAGGGTGGGTTTGTTATAAGGAAGCTAATATAACTGCTTGCTAAATTGCCGACTTTGCTTCGCAGCTAAAACACTTGGAACATTAATTACTGCACACTTTTTTCGGTTTTTTTTATATAGAAAGGCCCTCTAAATTGCCAGTGCGAGCAGGCAACTGGGAGAAAGTTTCCCAATCAGTCAAGCACGACAGGAATGTAAAAAAATGTTCGATAAATTGGAGGAATTTTATAGCAGAAAGCCCTTAAATTTGCGAAACCATTAATTAAGACCGAAGTTGTTTTGCACTCAGACTCAGAGTGGAAAAATCAGGTTTCAGCAGGCAAAATTCCGGCTTAATTTGCAGGAATTAAAGTCATTGCAGACGACAGCCAAATAGCCGATCGTTGAGGGGCTTCGAAGGCAATTTCTAGGACAAAAGAAATCTTTTGCTACACTTACATACACTAGAAGACAAACAAAGAAAAGTGGGTATTTTTATTTACTTTTCTGCCACATTTTTCCTGCTTAATTTTTTTTTAACGTTCATTGGGGCCCACGAGGTCTCAGAGTGAACCAGTTTGCCATTAGGAAAGCATAAAACCCCCGGTAAGAATGAGAATCAAAAGGGACAAAAAGCTGCCGACTTGGAGCCGACAGCGACCTCAAATTGATCCTTCCGGCCTCAAAATTTTCTTTGCTTTTGCTCCTCAAAGAACCAACTGATTGACTGATTACTTACATCATCCGTTAATGAATAGAAAACGATGATCGATCAGTGAGTAGTAGTGGAAAAGTAAAACAAATAATTTCGCAGGTTGCTCAAGGTCCAGAGGAAAAGGTCGACCAACAAAATGTTGCGTATATGCAACATCCTTAGCAGGAAAGCAGAAAAGTCTGAGAATGAAACGTTTAAAGCAGATTCTCTCGTCATCAACAAACAGCAGGATTTCTTATTCTACTGCGTGCTGCTTGCTGCAGCACACAAATTGGGTGCCATTTTGTAGCAAAACCGTCTACGTAAGCGTGAAGCGCGTTACATTTCTGACGTGCCCAAGCAGGAGCTCATAAGTTCCGCAGGATTGGCCCGACTGGAGGATAGGAGCAACAGGCTTGCAAGCCAGCTCCTACCACCCATTTATGGTGTCCTGATGCGCACAAATTTGTATAAATCAGTTTATTCCACGGTTACTTTCAATTTTTTCTATCAATTGATTGATCCGCGCAGCGAGACCGACCACCAACCAACCACCCACCAACCAACCAGCAGGTTTGGTCGGAATTCGGCAGGATTTGTTATTTTCGTGTTCATGCTCTCCTGCTGTTAAAGTGCCGACATTCGAACCACCAACAACCAACCAACCGCTCAGAATCAGGCAGGTTTTTTTTAATGATAGGATAAGAGATAAATAATTTTCAACGTGCGGAATTTCTGAGTAAAAAGACTCAGAACTAGTAACGCAAACAGTGCGATTAGATTGAAATCATTTTTTGATTAAAATATGATATGATGAAGAACGTTTTTCCTTTCTTTTGCGTTTATTATTTATTTGTAAACTTGCAAACAAAAAACTATCTGATGTAACAGTCCTGCCTGCAAAAGTCCACTTTCGCTCCAAAACGCAAGAAATCCTGCACCCTAGGATTCAATTGAAGAAGCAAACTAGCAGCAGGAAACATTGACATGTTCAAAAAAGGCTAAATCGCCCCGACGGACGTCGCAAATTAACCGGAAAAAGTTTTTTGTAAAAGTGGGAATTTTTAGGGCAAAAACACGTTTTATTCACGGCTCAAGACAGGAAAAGCTGGACAATTCCTGCCAAAACCTCGCGAAAGGCTTGAGGCAAAGTTTGGAAGAACTTCCGTGATTTAATTGGGTTAAACAATCTGGGCATGTTTTGAATTGTACGAAATTTGCAGGATTTCCCTGGATTGGCTGGTTCTAGGGGTAGTGAAATTGGCAAAAATAGTTAGAAATTTTAATTTCCAGCTTCGGAAATATCGGTCTCAAAATGGATTGTTCTACTCAATTTCACTCTCCCTCTTCTTTAAAAATTAGTATTTTCCTAACTAAAGCAGTTACCAATTTTAAATTTTGACTGTCGTTACAAGAGACATGGCTCTAAATATGGGAAAATTTGCGTGAAAATCGTCCAAAGCTCTGATTTTTGCAAGCTTAGTAAATAACGGACTCAAAATAGAACATTTTCTCAACTGCGCGCTCTCCGTTAAAAATTCGTATCTTACAAACGGAAATCAGTAGCAATTTCAATTTCTCACCACTTCTAAAAAATTCTCCGTTCTAGGCGGCACTGAATTTTCTGCGAAAATTGCAAAACATTCTGATTTTTTTCAGTCTAAGAAATATCAATCTCAAAATGGACGTTTTGTATTGAAAATTGTATCCTACAACCTGAAGTAAGCAGCACTTTGAAATTCTCACCACTTTTAGAAGAAACCGGGTTCCAGAGAATTGAAATGTTTTCAAAAATCCCTGGAAATTCTCATTTTTGCCAGTTTAGGAAATATCGGTCGGGAAATGACCTGGTCCATTGGGGAAAATACCTACAGATGCATTAGGGCTTCCAATGGAAAATTGCTGGTTTTGAAAGATTTCTCTGTGCGCTATTTATACAAAATATTTTTCTACTCAAAAATGGGCGCAGATCGGATGAAAGTTGCCAAATTAAACGCTGCTTTGAACAAGGCTTCGGGGTGCACAGGAGAGAAGTTTTCAGGATAAATCGGGTTGTAGCCTTTGAGAATCAATCGCCCTGTATAGTGGGGAAGTCACTCGATTCCGCCTTGCCA